ATCCAAGGGGCGGCAAACAAGTGGAAATATCCGGGGGAGAACAAACAGTAAAATTCAAAAACTCATAACCTAGGGAGAGGGGTGGCCATAAGCCTAAAACTTCGTGTTGCTAGTTACGGCATCATATTTAAAGGTTGCTACTTATTATATTAAAATTAAATTACTATGTATTTAAATTTTACATCCGTAAGTATATTCTTGAGAGCTTCTCATATCACTACTAAGTGTTAGCTGGTACCTGCCTGTCAGTCAATCTAGTTGTTGACCACTAGATCAGTGTCTGAATTATATGTGCTAGAATCAAGTTGAATTTAGTCTTAACAATCGTATCGTTTTACTAACACTTGATAGAAGTAGACTTGGCCGGGTATTTTTCAGATAATGAGGAAAAAAAACAATTTGTCAAACAATCCCTGGAATGATTTTTCAAGGATTTACAAAGTGAAATAATTTACGAGACTAGTAGAAATGCGGGCACACATAGGAGTTAGCGGTCTTCCCATGGGTATCGAAACCTGTTTTCATAATACCTGTTTTTATCAAAAACAATTCTAACAATCAACATGAGCAAAAATGGGTCTTTGGGTCATCAAGCCTGCGCCGGTGGTACCATACAACGGAGACTGAAGAACGAAATGTATAGAATGCAAAAGGGGAAAACCAAAACTTCGACATCTTTAGTTGATTTTTTACTGGATCATTTTCGACTGTGGAAAATTTTTGAAACCATAAATAATTTTTCAAGTTTTGAAAGAGCAAGGTGCACGGTATCTTTAGGTTTTTTATTCTAGATCTTTTGAAAAACTTTGAATTGTAATTCGAGCGATAATCGTGTTTGCTTGATTGTATTCAATAAAAATTCGAAAAGCTCTTTTTTCAGGTTTTATAGGTGTGAGCTGATTTGTCTGTTTTCAAAAAATTACTAAGTGACTATTTGTTTATTTGAGCGAGCCATCAATTTTTTTTTGAATATTTGATGCTAAAAACACCTTTTATCAACATAATTTTACAATTAACTAGGAAATATGTTACGGACTCCTGTTTCGCTTTACAAAATTCCCGGAATAAACAAATTTATCTCTATTTCTTAGCTTAAAATTGATTGGGAAGATAAACTATGTAAAAGAAGGCTAAAGGAAAAACCATTTGACATACGGGTTGTGGAGTTTCAGGAAAAACTTAGAGCTGAAATCGTAACTAATATTTCAAGCCACAGAACACTATCAATTTACTAAAATGTAGATAGAGATAACTTAAAACTTTACTTACAACTATAAACATATTTAACGGCCCAAACATAAACTGATTTCATTATGATAACTTACAATTATTTTTCAAAAACATATTGGGAGCACGAGGAAAAGTATTTCAAATAAATATTGTGAGCTCATAAATTCCTGTCGAGAAGCTACGCATTCTGCCAAATGACCTTTTTCTCAATTCTAGATTTTCAACAAAAAACAGTTCGCTGCCGTTTATGCAGGGAAGATGCTCAGAACCTATGCATTCGATTGAAACTTTAATAACAGATGTGAGAGGGCAGTTTTCGAAAAAATGTAACAGAGCTGCAAAAAATGGCATTTCTTCAAGAGCAACTTCGTGAGAGATCTTCACAAACAGTCTTTGCGATTGAAGCCTGAATCCAAGATTTGGGAGAGCAATTTTTGAAAAAGTCAAATGTAATTCAAAAAGTTCAAAAAATTGTTTTTAAAACAGCTTTTCTGAAGGTGTAACTTATTCCAAAAGTATTAGGGCGTAGTCGCTTAATGCAGGGGAAATTCCTGCAACCTATTCCGTCGATTGAATACTTAATCCTATATATGACAAGGTGCTTTTCCAGAAAACCAAAAAGTTTTACAAAAAAAAATCTAAATTTCGGAAAATGGCCTTTCCTAGGGCTGTACTTTTTTAGACACACTAGAATAAACTCTGAAATTTTAATCTCAGAAAATCTAAGAAAATTGATATTTATCTGCAGAGAGAAAGAAAATGAGCAGAAAAATTCTGTCACTTGTTTGAAAGCCGGGAAAATGAATCACAGAATCGGATTTAAGTACACAAATCGTAATAATAAAAAAATATCAAATTGATAACAGTGACAGTGAACATCGCCAGGGTTGGGGTAGTCGATATAGGTTTCGACCGACTCGGTCAAAGTTATCTTTAATTCGAACATCTCGACCAAAAAAGATGTTTTTACCAGCTCGATCGAAGGAAAAATATATTCAACTGTGTGTCGATCAAAGCGTGCTATGTTTCGCCCGGATCTAAACAAACTGGCTATGCTGTCATCACTCAACCAAAGAAATGTTGTTTTTAAGCTGTGTTCGAAACAAACGTGCTATGTTTTGACTACCGAGTAATTGGCCATGTTTCGACTACCGAGTTGAGAAAAAGAAAGAAAAAAATGAAAAATAATTTCGACTGTTGGATCTAAGCGTGCTATGTCCAACTCGGCCCAAACTGATTATGTTTTCACCAGCTCGGCCGAGAGAAAACTGTCTTCATTTGTGTTCGACATATGCGTGCTATATTTTGAACGACTCGAAATAAACTACTGGTTCAAACAAACCAAACTTTTAAGGTCGCGTTTATCCAGTGTTTAGGGACTAAACATAATAGTAACAATTTAATTGTCATTTCTATGCCCTTCTCTCATAATAATAAAAAAAAACATCATAAAATATTGTATGTTGCGTGCTAAAAATTATCTACCGTAAAGATTCAGCAAACAAACTAAAAAGAGAACTTAAATGCAACGGCTTTTTAACCTCGCTTGAACACTGCTCGACATTGAAAAAAATCATCCTCTACAAATCCTTTAACCAAAAAAAAATCATCAAAAATGGTAAGCTAAAAAGCCGATTTATCTATAGAGAGAAAAACAACACAAGCACAATTACAATTGCCTGGAACCAGAAAAACAACATTTTTAATAAGCAAAGAATTAATTGATCACAACGTTTAAAAACTCATTGGTAGTTTCAAATGAAATCCATAGCTTATCTTGTTTCACCTTAGTTATTTAATTTAGCAGTCTGCTTGTTCCTTCTCGAACTTGATTTCATAAGATCAAAAAAGAAAGTAAGCTCGCCAATAAGCACTGATGTTCAAAGATTAAACAATCAATTTGATGTTCTTTTCTACCCAAAAATGATGTCCCAAAAAGAGCTCACTTAGGCTGCTTTATTGTACGTCCAAAAAAGTTTCCCGTATAATTCTAGTAAAACTATGTTTTACAGGGCTCTGTTCAATCTGATTACATTTTTTCTACCCAAAATTGATGCCCAAAAAGAAAACACTTAAACTGTTTAAGTGAAAAAAGTTTCCAATATATTTCTAATAAAATTTTGTTTTACCGTGTTTGAACTATAAAAAAGCGATAAAAACTATAAAAATCAAATAGCGTGTAACGCACCTCTGGTGCTTCGATTTTTTAATAAATTATTCAAAACCGCAGATATTGGAAATAATATTTGCATCATTTGAGTGTACTCTGACAGCACCTAATTACAGGAATGGTAATTACAAATTTTGTTTAAAAAAAAAAGAGTTTAAAAAACCATAAAATTCTGTAAAATAACATTAAAAAACGCCATATCTCGGAAACTTAAATCAAATGCCCAGTCACAATGGAATGCAAAATTTGCAACTCCTGAGAGTACTCTAACAGTACCCAACTACAGCGTTGGGATTTCAAATTCTGAAACTTCAAACTTTTTGAAGAAAAAATCATTAAAAAGGTGATGTCTCAAAAACACAAAAGGTTTGAGCAGTCTTATTTCGAGGCAATATTTGTAACTCTTGAGATCCTGCGAGTACTCTGACAGCCCCCACTACAAAAACTGACATTTCAAATTTTGAAAAAAAAATTATGTTTTCTTGAAATTTTTTTGAAAAAATAAAAAAAAAACGTCAAATCTCGAAAACTATAAGGATTTGAGCAGTCATATTCAGAGGCAAGATTCGCAACCCCTGACTGTACCCTCAAAAATTCCAAATACACGATACATATCTTGAAAATTTTTGAATACTTTTAAATCTAATTCATTTGAAAATTTTTGAACAAAAATCATAAAAAACGTGATATCTCGAAAACTGTAAGGATGTGAGCAATCATATTCAGAGGCAAGATTTGCAACCCCTAAGTGTACCCTCAGAGTTTCCAACTACACGCTAGAGATCTTTTAGTTTTTGAATAATTTTAAATCTAAGTTTTGAACGTTTTTGAAAAAAATAATAATAAAAAACGTCATATCTCGAAAACTACAAGAATTTGAGAAGTGAGATTTGGAGAGAAGATTTGCATTACCTGAGAGTACCCTGACACAACCCAACTACGGGGTTGAGAATATCAAATGTTGCGAAACTTTTCTCAAGTTTGCTCATTTCAAAACTGATGAAGTAATCCTTGACATTAAACTGGAAAATCGAAAAAATTGCTTAATCATTGCAACTTACGAGATAGCTTAAGCGTGAAAAAATTCTTTCGTTAAACATGCAAAAAAAATACGTTCAGAGGGCTTAAACATGGCGAGATAGTGAAGCCCGCATATAATTATAGATTGACAAAGTCATGATAGATAGTTAGAACCGTGAAAAAGAAAATTGGAAAATATAAATGGAAAAAATTGATAGCTGTTAATGATCGAAATTTTTGTTGAAGTTTTCCCATTTAGTAGAAACGAGATCAATGCGTATTTTATGCGCTTTTGCATGGGAATCCAAAATATTCTGATCATTTTTGAAAAAAAAACAAAGAAATCATTCACGTTTTTGCTACTATTATACTTTTGCCGTTCGATAAAGGATATTGCGTTTTTTTACAAAGAATTTCAGCTCAGCTTCAAAGAAATCAAAAACAAACTACAAAACTCAAAAAGGCGCGTGAACAAAACCTAAGAACTTTTCCTCAGAAGATGAACAAAAAATCATCTCGACCTACCTAAGTGACAATCATTTCGTTGTTTTACAGTCAAAAACAATATAGAACATCATACCTGCGTAGGGTGGAGGTGGCATCATGAAACTGTCGTCAACCGCAGCAGCAGGCCTTGTGGGTAAGTTATCCACTACAATTCGTTCAGTGAACTTAGTTCGACTGCTGCGGCATTTTGCAACAGGACATTTCTGGATCGTTTGCGTTTCCAGAGCAGCGGTACATGGGAGGCAAATGCAGTGTCCGCAAGGAAGCTCAGGCACGTTGCCTTTCAACTTATTGGCACAACCAGGACATTCCAGTTGCGCATCATGGCCCTGATTGATCCGTTCGCTTCTAGATGAAGAAGCCATGATTTTCGAGTAAATAATATTTACTCAAATTGTTCCGAGACTTCTAATGAAGAACCTGTGAAACAAAGCAAAAAGTGTTGTTCTAATTGTTTAATGCCGAGTGCGGTCAAACGGTAGACAAGCTTTATTTCATACTAGTCGAGAAAAAGACAAATTCAATTATTAGCCAATCAGAATCCAGAACAAAAGTACGCCGAAATTCGAGAAATTTATTTGTTTTGCATGTTTTTCTTTCGTTCTATCAATTCTGACTGGTTAATATAGTAACTTTCGACTAAAGACGTGCTTACTTTATGAGGTCTCTATTTGTTGCTGCCTAGTCATTTTTCGCGATGTCTAAACGGACATCATTCCCTAAAAACTTATATTCGAAACAAAATTATGATTTTTTGTGAAGATTTCTGAAAACGTAGCAACCTTCCTTTCCTAATTTGCATTTTCATGAGCTGCTACATTCAAGAAATTTGATCGTTTTTATCTTGCCAGCAAAATTAAACCCATTGCAGGTTCTGTTAATTGTATGAAAAATCAAAATTGTTGGTCAAAAATTTTCTTTTTTTTAGGGGAAAGTTAAAGTTCACTCAACGAATTTAGTGGAAAAAATATAAGATTCAAAAACACAAATTTTGTGATATTACATGGTGGCATGCCCCATTTGTTCGATAGTCCTAGTTTTACTAAGCAAACAATACTCAATCAAATATTCAGTTTTCACCTGGGATATTGCGCAGAGGTAGAGATCGAAGGCAATCAGATTCCAACGAATGCTTCAAATAGGAAGGATGCAATTCAAATTGTATTTAAATCAAAGTTGAAAAATTCTAAGTCGGAAAGAAAGACAAATAATTGAACTCAACAATTCAGACGAGCTAAACTGGGTGGATCTTTAGAAATATTGGGTTTAAATGCCAAAAATTAACACGAGACCTGTAGTTTTTTTGCTCAAGTACAATTTAACAGATTTTGAGAAATTCGTGGTTTTTGTTTCTAAAACAGAATCACGTTTAACCTCTCGATGAATCTTTTTAATGAAGAGCGCGCATAGTAACAACTTACGTCCAACGCTTAAAAACCAGCAGAACTTTACGGCACGTGTGTATTTTTCTCAGGCATAGTATAACTCGAGAATTGAAGAAAATTGTTATCAATATTAGTAAAAATATCTTTTCATGTATAAAAACTGTTTTTTATTTTTGTTGGACACAACTAAGCTTCTGTGCCGTCATTTTAAACTCTTTTACATTTCAATTTGAAAGTTAAACTTTTTAATTTTGCTCATTTTATGATAACGTGACAAAGTTAGCGTAGAAAAGCTCATTATTTTATCACTAACTCTCAATACCAGCAAAAACAAATCTCGCCATGTAAATTTGTTTTCATTATAATTAGTCAAAATTGAGCTTTTGTAGTCAGTTTCAACTCTTTTACATTAGTAACTTTAAAATTTAAAGTTTTCAACGTTCTACAGTTGGCTTGTTTTTGCTAATTTATTGTACAACTGAAACTTCAAAAAAACTATTTTCATGTGCTTTTTTGTTCAATAATAACAATTTTAACGCTCAATCTTAAGACAAAAACAAATACGCCTTACAAGTTTGAGCAACAAATCCACTAATTTCCGAAGAAACAAGAACACAAAATAAAGAGTTTTCTGGTAGTTTTGACAAAATTTGAGTGACAAGTCGAACTGTTTTTGACACTCTTCTTTTTTGACGTTCTTCGTCTATTCTATATTCTTTCTGCAAACTCAAAAGTTCTTCTATACCCCTCGATACTAAATAAAACAGACTAGCTGAAGTTGTTTCTTTAATGGCAAGCATTTGATGTAGTTCGTGGTTTAGTTCGTGATCACATACAATAGGGTGGAAAAGAGCTCCGTCAATTTTATAGTAGAGCTGTTTCTTCTTACAAGGCTTGTCCATTATAACTCCTTCGAATACACCTGTAAACAACTCAAAAACTGTTATTGGAAAGATATTTCTTAAGATTTTCATCTGCTAACTCTTATTCGATAATATGCAATCACAATAATTGAAAGAAAATTCTTTAAACATTCGTTAAATTGGAGGTCTGTCGGTCAAATGCGTTTAAAAATCTGTAGAAATGTCCGTCAAAATGATTATGATAACTAAAACCGCAAAATATTAAGCAGATAATCCGCTTAGTATTTTGCACAATTCAAGTTAATCTTTATTGTTTTGACGTTCAAATTTGCTCATATAACAGAAAGACCTGAACGAGCCTCATTAAGAAAAACCAACTACTAAACTTGCTCTTCAACGGTCTAAAGAAAACATGCCCCCACCTGGTTGGGTTGGTGGAGATAACCCAAACACACATCTACTAGTGACAGCCTCCATCGTGACCCCGTGTGCAGTTCTGAAGTAGAACTGAGGCCCATTTGCTATCTTCACCTGGGCCAACCTGGAAAACAAACAACCACACTGAGCTTTCCACTTTGAAGATCTCCGATTGAAAATAATTACTACGTTTAAATTATAGTCAACGCCAATATGTAGTCATCATATCCTCTTCGGTGAACAAGTTTTATGAAAAATACTCAAATAAAAATGCACATTCTACCATCAAAATCAGAGCTGGAACCGGGCCTCATTTTTAGGATCAGTAACCGAGCCGGGCCCGGGTCTGACTTTCAAAAGAGTTCACACCTTGTGACTTGGAGCGTGACTTCATCAGGGCTAGGCAAATCCGGACATTCAAGCGTGCCCTCCTTTCTGCGGCAAAAGTCAGCCAAATCGAACTGTAAGGATCGACTGCAGCCAATGGACTTATTATTATTTGATTTTTTTCAAAAATTAAATTTGAATTTCACTTCAGGAAATTTGTGTTTTCATTAAAAATGAGCCCGGGCTTGAAATTTTTGATTCCCAATCTGGCCATGCCTCAAAATCAGGCCCTGTTCCCAATCTGATCTAAAATAATATTCCACTAGTTTCAATGCTCTACAATCATGGTAAAAATACAAATCGACAAACAAAATATGCTAATTGATTGATAAGATATATTGAGTTCGACAATATAGCTTACAATTTTAGCATTCAACTGTTAAAATCGAGTCACCTCATGGCAGCAACTGCATCTTCCACTGGATCATGGCCCCGTTCGTTCTTCTGTATGGACTGTTCTAGTAGTGCCTTGATGTAGTGCTTCAGCCTAACAGGGGACCAGGATGGTTTCTTCAGAACTTGACTGGTGTCTATTACGTGGGGATACACCATCTGAAAAAAACTAATTATCATTCACATTTAGAGATTAGTTACCAAACCCCCCCCCCCCGCCCCAAGAATGCTACTGAAAAATGGTGAATAAAGCATTGGTTTTCACAGTATTCTGACTGTACTGGACATTCGACGGGCTTTTCCTGTCCTCGAGGAAACGGCACTTCCAACAGCCAATGATGATCTTAAAATGCATGTTTATTAAAAACATTCAAAACTTTTTAAATTCTACAAATCCTTGTCTAAATCGTACTCTATTTCAACTCTTCTAACCTTCAGTGCATGTAGATCGAAATTGAGACTGTGTCCTACTAAAATTGCATTGGGGGGTATCACTCTCATCACTTCTCTCTGCACCTGGTCTAGAGTGGTCTTCACGTTCAGTAGCATGTCTTCTGTTATGCCACTGAACCGGGTGAGGTAGTCATACACTCTGCCCTAAATAACTTCATCCTCTTTTAGTCTGTCAATTTAAAAAATATTAGATGAGTAACACCATAGCCAACAGACAGTTAGATCATTATTAAATTATAAGCAAATTATAAGCAAATTAAAACCATTTTACTCTCGAGTTCAAAAAATTTCAAAAGTATGTACCACCTTAAAACTCTACACATTTTTTTATTATCAAGCCCTGAGAAATGTGGTAAAGGTAAGTTTTTTTTCGCTTCAAGCGAACATTTGTTATTGGAGAGCCTTATGTTGCCTCCCTTTAACAAATGATTTTTAGATGAAATGATCAAGTGATTGCACGACTTTTTCTTGAACCGATATATTTCAAAAACTCTTAATTTGACACTTATTGATCATGAAACAACCCAAAAAGCAGAAAGCAATCGACAAAGCAACTGAAAATATAGCAGAAGAAAAAATAAAATTCCAAAAAAACACTCCGCCAACCAAAAACCACAGGGGTAAAGATGTATACATTTTAGGTCATAGTTTTCGACCATTTCAAACTGCAGCAAACAAAACAACATTGAGAAAGAAAACAAAACCTACAATTTTTCTATCAAAACTAGGACGTTAAAAAGCAACAAGTCAAAATTTTTATTAGGTGATTATTGATCGCCCACTTGGTTAAATTGATTAGCTATTTGTTAGCTAGTTGTTTGACATTTTTACAACTGAAAACCTAGTGAGGGGAAAACCGTATAACTTGAGAAAAAAATCACCAAGACCTATTCAAAAGTCTTCACTACGTTCATTACTATTGCATATGAATTCAATTTTGCAATTTTTGTTGATTTTGATTCATCAATATTTTCAGTTTCTTGCGACATGTGCTCTTGAGATTACTGAACACTATCTACCATTAAGTCAGCTAAAGACCGGCTACCAAATCGCCAAAGCTATGCAGCAAAAATGCTACCGAAAATCTTGACCTCGATTACTGGTGTCAGGACAAAAGATACCATACCAAAAGCTCCCATGACAAAAGATACCATACCAAAAGATCCCTTGTATAAAAATCGCCCATACCATAAAATCCCATGCCAATTAAGAAGATCCCATGAATTATGAACAAAAATCTTGATCAAAGTGTAAGCAGAAATAAATCTAGAGTAATGATATCTCAATTAGGTTCGCGCTATTGAAAAACAATGCAAATTTAAGATAACTAAATTTAAACTGGACTCATTTTTGGGATTAACATAGTGCCAATAGGTGTTTAATTTAGTGTTAATATGGCATTGAATTAAAACAACTTAATTGAAAATGTATATACTCTGCATTCATTATCTCCCTCTTTAACTCATTGATACGTCAAAAATGAATTCTTTTACTTGGGGAACCTCACAAAAAGGCCAAACTCTGATTATTCTTGATGGCCATGAATTTCAAAAGAAACGCGATACGAAGACAACGACACACTGGCGCTGCAGCAAATGGAGATCGTATAAATGCCCGAAAACTTTGATCACTTCTGGGAGCGATATAAAATCACAGAGCAACGAGCATAGTCATGAGCTCAACGCAGGACGCTCAGAAGCTCGGCAACTAGTTCAACGAATGAAGGAGACAGTTAGGAATCAATTAAATCCCGTAAACAGCCAGATAATCGCAGCTAGTTTGCAATTGGTGCAGGACGAAAAAGCAACCCAACTGTCTTTGCCCTCCCGGTCGGCGCTAACGCGAACTTTAAACAGAAGTAAACAAACGACATCCCTGCCCACTATTGCCACAGATGACCGTCATTTCGAAATACCCGATCGTTTTAAGCAATTTTGTCTTTTTGATAGCGGAAAACAAGATACGGAACGCATACTAATTTTTGGCGACATTGAGAACCTCAATGCGCTTAAATTGTACAACAAAACCTGACTTGTAGACGGTACTTTCAAAATTTGCCCCAGTCAGTTTTACCAGCTGTATACTGTACACATCCAGATTGGCGGGTTTTATCCACCTTGCGTCTACGCTCTGCTTAGCAATAAGCGTTTATCAACCTATAACAAATTCCTAACCGCACTCAAATCGCTTATCGGTGACGTAACCCCGGAGAGAATTTTGATCGACTTTGAAATTGCGGCTCTGAGTGCTTTTACCTCTCATTGACATTAAGGGATGCTATTTTCACCTCTGTCAGAGCTTTATGCGAAAAATATCCGAATTGGGCCTTAAAAAGACGTACGAATCAAACAGCGAGCTAGTCTTAGCGCTGAATATGATTCCTGCGCTTAGTTTTGTGCCGGAGTCAAAAGTGGAAATCGGGTTCGACCTAGTCATTGAGGAAATATGCAGTGTGGCAACCAAACTGGATATTTCACAAAACGATCTCGAAAAATTAGACGAGCTCACTGCTTATTTCCAAAAAACGTACATTAGAGGGGATTTGATTGGCCGAAAAACACTTTTTCCTATTTCTCTTTGGAACCATTATCAAAATGCTGTGTGTGGTCTAGCCCGAACCACAAATGCAGTTGAAGGGTGGCATCTAGGTGTAACCGCTTTGTTTCAAGGCAGCCATCCTTCAATGCATACGTTTCAACTAGATTCCTACAATCAAAAGTTCAACATTTTGAAGGCATCCAGCGGCACTATCAACTTATCCCGGAAAAAGTACCGTGATCTGAATGAAAAAGTTCAACAGATAACAAGTTCATACACAGACTCTAACTTATTGTCTTATATCCGTTCACTTGCCCATTTAACCTATTAAACTTTGTTTTAGTTTCTGCCTTATTTTTCCTAAATTTAAATTTGTTTGATCAACTGTTTTATAGACGTCTCCTTGCACCCTCCCGGAGAACGCCGAAACGCAATACTACGACTCGCTTTCGAAAATGCTGTCTCTAGCAATTTGATCCCAGAGCAGTTGCTCTTATTTGCGGGACGCTAGGTTGGGGGTAGGGGCCTGACGGCCCTTTGAGTATTGCGCCTAGCGAAAAAAAGTTGATCAAAATTGAGAATTGATATTTTGTATCAAATAGAATGGCAAGTGATTCGTAATGAAAATGATTTCAAAGCTTTAGAATTTTGCAAAAACTCAATTTCAATTTTGTACCGACTTGAGTTGTCTGGAAAATCAGGCCATTTTTGGCAACGTTGGTTTTGATTAATTGGAAATCCTTTTCAAGTTCAACTATTGTTTAAGCTGTTTTGAAGTTTGAGTTTCATTTTAAAGGCCAAGTGATTAGCAAGGTCATTTATGTTCGAAATTTGTGCAGCAAAAATTTTGCCGTTTCTTTGATTTTAACCGACGCTTTGTTTTGGCTTTGATCGATTAACCGTTTTATTTTCAATTCTCAGTTTCTTTGTTATTTTATTATGGTATCTTATGTCGTGGGCGATTGTAGAACGAGGTATCTTTTGGAATGGTATCTTATTGACTGGGATCTTCTCGTTTGGGATCTTAAGGTAAGGGATCTTTTGTCATGTAACCCGATTACTACTATCACCATGCATAAGAAGCCGTTCGTAAATAGAATAGACAGTTTTTTTTTAATATGAGCATGGTTATCAAACTAATAAAAGTGGCACATGAATTAGTCCAACAATTAGATTTAATCAAAGGAGAAAATCTAAAACTTAACAAAATACAAAACAAATTAATTTATCAGCCAACATGCCTCAATTTATAGAGCGGACGCATTTTGACTAGTTTACAAAAAAGTTCATTATAAACATCCGACCCTTCCCAGGTTCGAATCCTCTTATTTTATTGCGGGTCTTCTTTCTTATCTACGCTGTATATCAATGATACCTTGAAGCTAAAGTACTATTTGTAATATAATAGTCTGTTAATATCCGTAGCATTGGCTGTACTTTACAGCTGGTTTTTGATCAAAATGAACACTTTCAAAATGAACACATTTTGCCGCATCAATATTTGCGTCGCAAAAATAATTGCGCCTTAGAGAGGAAAAAAGAGTTAAAACAATCGCACAAGCTTTGCTTTGCTAGTGTAAACAAAGGAAACAATAAATAATTGAAAAAAAATCAAGTTACTTGAATTTCACAAATTTTGCGTTTAAACAGCGCTGAGCACAGAACTACATCAATGCTTTGACGCCAGATTCCACTGGTTGTAAACCGGAATAAAAACAACACTAATAAAATGAAATCAAAAGTAAACCGCTAAAATCAATTAACAGCGTTAAAACAAAACCTGAAAAAAAACACCACACGACCTAAATACGCATCTTCACTTCGTTGATTTACACTTGCCAAACTTCACTGTTTTTGAACTGTTAACAATCGGACTCTTATCAAACCCTCCCGATATTATTCTGCCCAACTAATCTACACTTACCTTCGGTTTCACCAGAGTATCATATAGTGTGTTATATTTCTCATCCACAACTGCAACTCTAGTCAGTGCTGACTCAGACTGCAGAGTGTATCTGTTTCTCACTAGACACATTTCACAGTCTATAGCCAGAAGGGGACTATCTGAAGTGAGATCCACTTTGGACACTGAAGGAATGCGCATGTAGCCACAAGCACTCATTAGCTGAACAGATAAAATGAAAATTGGATATAAAATCAAAACGACACAGTTCATCGGCTCTTTTCCCGTTCCCCCCTCTCGAAAATTTACAAACTTAAGCTGTTTAAAAATTATTCACACGTTATTTTGCATGAAAGAAATGTAACACCTTGTTCACTTGTTCACGCTGACACGTTTTAATGCAGACTAATATTGAGAAATTGATTTAAATTTAAATTGATATCCATATAATGAATTTCAGAAAAAAATCAAAGAGGGCACTGGAAAAGAGCCAGTTCATCTTTCACGGCGCCCATTTCAATATCAAAATACCTTTTAATAAGGAATTAAGAGAGCTCACAAAATGTCGCAGATAAAATTGATTTTACCCACCAGAGATTCTTATCCTGAGACATGACTTACTTCGTTTTCGTCCGGGTATCCCAGTTCAGTCATTTGGGATGGACTCAACAAATAATGAGATGGAGGCGGTAGAGATGATTCATTTGAAGCGTTCATATCTCCATTATGTAATACTTTCCCTTTAGAATCCCTCGATCTGAAACAGAATAATGTCTGATTTGGCTAACATATTGCATTGAAAAATGTCAATCACTTACATTTAATTTAGGGGCGGTGCGCAACTTTGTACCACTTGGGAGACATAACAAACATAACATGGAAACATAGCCGACAGAAAAAAAAGACGAAAAACACTTATTGAAAAAAAAACGCCAATATGATAGCAGATGTACCAACATTTTTATACGCTTGACTCGAAAAGGTTCAATTTGAAGAGAAAATGTCGAGAAAGACAACTCGCGGCTTTAAATCAGCCTTAAAGCTAATCGAAGCGTAAATTTTTTACTGTAGAAAAAATAGTAGCAACCATTCCGCACCGTGAACATAATTAGTACCCTGTACAACAAATGACCAAATACGATGATCAATCTCAGTTAAAATTTCAATCACAACTTTAACTAACTCTCCTCCTTTTCGTAAGTACTTAAGTACATCCAGCTCTATACAAAAACCCTTACAATTGGGCAAAAAGACTAACTTTTCATTCAAAAATTACTAAAACTTGTCAAAAGCTAGCTTTCTTACTTCTTGGGAGCCTCCCATCCGCATTCCGACTTCACCTCTTCTGCTAGCCAATCAAAACCTTCAATCATTCGTGGAGGCACAGAGAACTTCTTGTCCAAATGAACACCACAGTCACTATCACATATTCCATTCAGCTTTCTTTTCTTTCCAGAACTCTGACCTTCAAAATCACTTCAGCTTTCATAACCATTTTACAGCCAATTCAAAGTTTATTTTTCAAAAAATCTTCCATTGAAGCTTAACTTACTCCTTGTTAACTTGATAAAATAACCGAGCGTCTTCCACTTTAATCGTTGCTGGGCAAATCGCATCCAAGAAAACCATTTTCTTGCTTCTTTTTACGCTGCTATTATACCAATCTTTGATTTGATTATTTCGTCAAAATACTGCATCGAAATTGTGTTCACGTTTGGAACATGAAACATGACTGATTTTCTAATTGAGTCGCGGTTATCAATCGAGATTACTCGCTCAGAAGTTTGTTCTTGCGACAACTTGCCAGGAAAAAGCTCTCCGATATTTCTGAGATCAATCGGAACATCACTTTCAGTTTCCAAATTCGTATATCCTGCTCTCCTAAAGAACAGTTTTTATGACTAATCTCCTTTCCGAAAATTTCAAAAGTATGTACCACCTTAAAACTCTACACATTTTTTTATTATCAAGCCCTGAGAAATGTGGTAAACGTAAGTTTTTTTTCGCTCCAAGCGAAAATTTGTTATTGGAGAGCCTTATGTTGCCTCCCTTTAACAAATGATTTTTAGATGAAATGATCAAGTGATTGCACGACTTTTTCTTGAACCGATATATTTCAACAAGAGTCGTAAAATCACTAAAACTCAAACACAAAACCTAAAAAGGTGAAAATCAAAAAAGAAAAATTCTTAATTTGGCACTTATTGATCATGAAACAACCCAAAAAGCAGAAAGCAATCGACAAAGCAACTGAAAATATAGCAGAAAAATTAAAATTCCAAAAAAACACTCCGCCAACCAAAAACCACAGGGGTAAAGATGTATACATTTTAGGTCATAGTTTTCGACCATTTTAAACTGCAGCAAACAAAACAACATTGAGAAAGAAAACAAAACCTACAAATTTTTCTATCAAAACTAGGCCGCTAAAAAGCAACAAGTCACAATTTTTATTAGGTCATGATTGATCGCCCACTTGGTTAAATTGATCAGCTATTTGTTAGCTAGTTGTTTGACATTTTTACAAACTGAAAACCTAATGAGGGGAAAAACGTATCAGTTGACAAAAAAATCACCAAGACCTATATAAAGTTCTCACTACGTTCATTACTTTTTAAAAAAAGTCAGCAAAATGAATTCAATTTTGCAATTTTTGTTGATTTTGATTCATCAATATTTTCAGTTTCTTGCGACATGTGCTCTTGAGATTACTGAACACTATCTACCATTAAGTCAGCTAAACACCGGCTACCAAATCGCCAAAGCTATGCAGCAAAACTGCTACCGAAAATCTTGGACCTCGATTACTACTATCACCATGCATAAGAAGCCGTTCGTAAATAGAATAGACAGTTTTTTTTAATGAGCATGGTTATCAAACTTATAAAAGTGGCACATGAATTAGTCCAACAATTATATTAAATCAAATGAGAAAATCTAAAACTTAACAAAGTACAAAAGAAATTAATTTACCAGCCAACATGCCTCAATTTATAGAACGGACGCATTTTGACTAGTTTACAAAAAAGTTCATTATAAACATCCGACCCTTCCCAGGTTCGAATCCTCTTATTTTATTGCGGGTCTTCTTTCTTACCCTACGCTGTATATCAATGATACCTTGAAGCTAAAGTACTATTTGTAATATAATAGTCTGTGTTAATATCCGTAGCATTGGCTGTACTTTACAGCTGGTTTTTGATCAAAATGAACACTTTCAAAATGAACACATTTTGCCGCATCAATATTTACGTCGCAAAAATAGTTGCGCCTTAGAGAGGAAAAAAAGAGTTCAAACTATCGCACAAGCTTTGCTAGTGTAAACAAAGGAAACAATAAATCATTGAAAAAAAATCAAGTTACTTAAATTTCAAAAATTTTGCATTTAAACAGCGCTGAGCACAGAACTACATCAATGCTTTGACGCCAGATTCCACTGGTTGTAAACCGGAATAAAAACAACACTAATAAAATTAAATCAAAAGTAAACCGCTAAAATCAATTAACAGCGTTCAAACAAAACCTGAAAAAAAAACACCACACGACCTAAATACGCATCTTCACTTCGTTGATTTACACTTGCCAAACTTCACTGTTTTTGAACTGTTAACAATCGGACTCTTATCAAACCCTCCCGATATTATTCTGCCCAACTAATCTACACTTACCTTCGGTTTCACCAGAGTATCATATAGTGTGTTATATTTCTCATCCACAACTGCAACTCTAGTCAGTGCTGACTCAGACTGCAGAGTGTATCTGTTTCTCACTAGACACATTTCACAGTCTATAGCCAGAAGGGGACTATCTGAAGTGAGATTCACCTTGGACACTGAAGGGATGCGCATGTAGCCACAAGCACTCATTAGCTGAATAGATAAAACCAAACTTGGATATGAAATCAAAACGACAGTTCATCGGCTCTTTTCCAGTTCCCCCCTCTCGAAAATTTACAAACTTAAGCTGTTTAAAAATTATTCACATGCTATTTTGCATGAAAGAAATGTAAAACCTTGTTCACTTGTTCACGCTGACACGTTTTAATGCAGACTAATATTGAGAAAAAGCTTTTTAAATTGATTTCCATATATTGAATTTCAGAAAAAAATTAAAGGGGGGACTGGAAAAGAGCCAGTTCATCTTTCACGGCCCCCATTTAAATACCAAAATACCTTTTAATAAGGAATTAAGAGAGCTCACAAAATGTCGTCGAGATAAAATTGATTTTTCCCACCAGAGATTCCTATCCTGAGACATGACTTACTTCGTTTTCGTCCGGGTATCCCAGTTCAGTCATTTGGGATGGACTCAACAAATAATGAGATGGAGGCGGTAGGGATGATTCATTTGAAGTGTTCACATCTCCATTATGTAATACTTTCCCTTTAGAATCCCTCGATCTGAAACAGAATAATGTCTGATTTGGCTAACATATTGCATTGAAAAATGTCGATCACTTACATTTAACTTAGGGGCGGTGCGCAACTTTGTACCACTTGGGAGACATAACAAACATAACATGGAAACATAGCCGACAGAAAAAAAGACGAAAAACACTAATTGAAAAAAAAAACGCCAATATGATAGCAGATGTACCAACATTTTTATACGCTTGACTCGAAAAAGTTCAATTTGAAGAGAAAATGTCGAGAAAGACAACTCGCGGCTTTAAATCAGCCTTTAAGCTAATCGAAGCGTAAATTTTTTACTGTACAAAAAATAGTAGCAACCATTCCGCACCGTGAACATAATTAGTACCCTGTACAACAAATGACCAAATACGATGATCAATCTCAGATAAAATTTCAATCACAACTTTAACTAACTCTCCTCCTTTTCGTAAGTACTTAAGTACATCCAGATCTATACAAAAACCCTTACAATTGGGCAAAAAGACTAACTTTTCATTCAAAAATTACTAAAACTTGTCAAAAGCTAGCTTTCTTACTTCTTGGGAGCCTCCCATCCGCATTCCGACTTCACCTCTTCTGCTAGCCAATCAAAATCTTCAATCATTCTTGGAGGCACAGAGAACTTCTTGTCCAAATGAACACCACAGTCACTATCACATATTCCATTCAGCTTTCTTTTCTTTCCAGAACTCTGACCTTCAAAATCACTTCAGCTTTCATAACCATTTTACAGCCAATTCAAAGTTTATTTTTCAAAAAATCATCAATTGAAGCTGAACTTACTCCTTGTTAACTTGATAAAATAACAGAGCGTCTTCCACTTTAACCGTTGCAGGGCAAATCGCATCCAAGAAAACCATTTTCTTATTTCTTTTTACGCTGGTTTTATATTCAGTCTTTGATTTGATTATTTCGTCAAAACACTGCATCGAAATTTTGTTCAAGCTGGGAACATGAAACATGACTGATTTTCTAATTGAGTCGCGGTTATCAATCGAGATTACTCGCTCAGAAGTTTGTTCTTGCGACAACTTGCCAGCAAAAAGCTCTCCGATATTTCTCAGATCAATCGGAACATCACTTTCAGTTTCCAAATTCGTATATCCTGCTCTCCTAAAGAACAGTTTTTATGAATAATCTCCTGTCCGAGAATCCATATTGAGAACGAAATGATGCATAGCCTTGGCGCGCGATTAGATGTATTTTATCACAAACAAATTTTCTAAAACTTTGCTAGCAAATTAAAAAAACTATCTGATGAAAACAATATCACCCAAATGTAGAAAACCTAAAGATACACCGATATGACAAAAAGGGCAATGCTTGGAATAAAGGCTTGGAATTTTTTTTAAGCCGCAAACATTAAGAACGGACAATAGGTCAATGAAAGGAAAACAAACATTTTTCATTTAAAGCCTTCGGTAACAATATACATATTCAACTGTCAACCTTAATGCAGATAATTGAGACTTCAGCTTCAGTCTAAATTCGGGCTCCTCAAGATCAAAAACTCTGACTTCTTCTTCTGAATGCTCGGCGCGTCTTTCCTAAGCAGCAAAGAAAAAACAGTTCTCTAAGTTTAAGTTACAAAAAAGAAAAACATACGCCACGTTTCTAAATTACATATTTTACATAGAGGCGAAGCTTCGCTTCGTAGACATTAGCGAGAACACGACAAAAAAGCAGCTCTATAAAGTGCAGAAAGGAAACGCATAAATAAGCCTCGAATTCGTCAATAACTCGAATAATTTATAAAAGAGGCCCTTCCGTTTAGGTACGGTCGTGCACAAGCTGGATAGGGCCCATACCAGCATTATATAAATACATCAGTAAGCAATATTGGGGGAATTAAGTCAAGTCAGCATTTAAAAAATTTAATTCAACCGTCCTTCTTCTACAACAGCACTAACTGAATTGTCTATCAACTGCGTCATACGCAGTGATCTGCATCCCGTATACAAAGGATAGCGCTCCTGAGCAGCGCGAAGCTCATCTTAGTTCTTATATAGTTTATTGTTTCTGAGTAGCTTTCATGTCTTTTTTCACTAAGTTTTTCAGCAATGCGCTGCATTGTCCGAGTAGCTGCTGGTGCCACCAGTGCAGCCAAACATGAGCGGGCAGAAGCTGCTCTGTTCAACTTGAAGAACTCTGTGGGTGTTTTGAGTTTTTTAGTGATTCGTGGTACTTATAGGCGTCTTTCAGTAGTCTTTATGAAGTTTTTGCGTGCGGGTTGAAGACTTAAACATCAAAAAATGTTTGGCTAAACCTTTAGCGCCATAATCCGTTTGCTTTTACATCTAGTTGAGCGACTTCTTCAGTTGTGGTTTGAATTGTTGACAAAGCTCTCGCCTTGCAACGACTGAAGTTTCGGCTCGATTTCAACATCAAAGCAAACCTCGCTCATGAGGTTGGCAAATCTATCTCTGTTTTCGTTATGCTTCATGTGGGTGTATCCACCCTTTGCACAGTAAAGGGCGTGGTTAAGTTCGAAAGATTGACCACATGCACATTTGAGTGGAATGTTAGTCGGTACCCATCCATATCTGAGATAAATTCCATCCCGGAAATCGGATTTATTCAGGTTAAAATTATATCTGCTGAGTGGCAGTGCATTTAACTAGTTTGAGGCTCCTCTTTCGGAGGCAATTTCAAGTTCATATTTTTCCTTGTCATCCAAGTTGTTCAAAACGTTAGTTTTCTTCTGGTTTGTTCTTTCAGTTCTAAGTATTTTAATTTTTGTATAGACTTTTTCTTGCTCAGATATAGCTGTTAATGGGTCGTATGTGTCTAGGACTGACGATGTTTTTATTGACTATTCTAGAAAATTCTCATAGTCAGAACGTAGCTCGATGTCTCTACGTTGATGGCTGATATTATCTTTACCAATTAAATTTGGAAGGAGATTTTCCTGCAGTATCTTCTCGCAGGCCTGCATGTTTTCTGTGGTATTGGAGGTAGTTCTTGCTAAAAAACGATTATTTTTCTTGTACCCCTTTGGTGTAAAAGGAGTACACATTTTGGGGTGATGTTTTCGCGATCTGGCCAAGTTTTTCCAGTATTATATTATGTTCTTCTAACTGAGTTTCTAAGAAAGTTTTATATTAAGTCTCGGATCCTATGACAGCACCAAGTACTCTGGCCCTTTTCTTCATTCCAATTTCGGTATTTTTGAATACTTTTATTGCCTAATTGTATTTTTCATCTTTTACAATGAGCTGGCATTTTGTTGCCTTTACACGATATCCAAAATATTTTCCGTGTTTGATAAAATTTTCAAGAACTCTTCGCAGGCTTTTCAAATTTCCGACTGCGTTCCTATCGTCTGCATACATTTTCTGTGTTAGGCTGTTGTTGACTAGTTAAATTAAAAGTAAAGTGGCTAGCCTGTACATTGCCATTGCTAATGGGTCTCCTTGTGTGGTTCCTACTCTAGATAGGATAACTTTTTTTATTTACGAAGAGTTTGGATGGAATAGAGTATGAGTTCTCTTTAGCATGTAGTATAGAAGGGCATATATTTGCAAAGTTCTTCAAAGCTAGGTTCCGGTTTAGGGAGTTAAATGCATTTTCCGCGTCTATCAGTAATACTAGTGTTTAACGCACCTTCGTTGCTTCGAAATCTTACGACAGCTTATGAAAAACCGCATATATTGGAAACAACATCTGCAAATTTTTAGTGTACTCTGACTGCACCCAATTACAGGGTTGGTAATTTCGAACTTTTACACTTTTTTAATTCCCATTTTAGAAGCTTCATCTCGAAAACTTAATGGGCCTCTGGAGAATATTGGAGGCCAGATTTGCAACCACTAAGAGCACCCTATTATAGGGTTAAGAATCCCAAAAATTTTGTGAATTTTTTTAAACTTAAGTTTCCCGAAAAAAAAAATTGAAAAAAACGTCTTATCTCGGAAACTAAAAGGATTTGAGCATTAAAACTAAGAGGCAAGATTTGAGACGCCTGGGTGTACTCTGACAATAAGGTTGTATCTTCATCAAGTTAGTATTTTCAAACTTTTTGAATTTTTTTCTAGATAAGTTCTTCGAGAAAATTTGAAAAAGTCAGATCTCGGAAACTAAAAGCATTAGAGCAGTCGCGTTTAGCAGTCGCATGTGGCAAGATTTGCAACTCTTTAGAGTACCCTGACAAGACCGAACTATAGCGTTGGAAATTTCAAATTTTGAAACATAATTAAAATAAACTTTCCGATGTTTTCTGAAAATTTTTGGAAAAATCACAAAAAACGTCATATCTCGAAAACTACGAAGAATTGAGCAGTCATACTTGAAGGCAAGATTCGCAATCTTTGGGATAACTCTGTCAGGACCTAACTATAGGGTTGGGAATTTCAGATTTCTAAAAACTAAAAATAATTCAAAATTTCTGAAAAATTTTGAAAAAATCACAAAAAACCGTCATATCTCGAAAACTACAAAAAATTGAGCAATCATATTAGGAGGCAAGATTCGCAATCTTTAAGATTACTCTGACAGGATTCAACTACAGGGTTGGGAATTTCAGATTTTACGAAAAAAAAATTAATAAGTTTTCTGAAATTTTTTTTGAAAAAACACAAAAAGCGTCATATCTCGAAAACTACAAAGATTCAAACAGCCATATTTGGAGGCAAGATTTGTAACTCCTTAGAGTACTCTGACAGCACTCAACTACAGGGTTGAGAACTTCAAGTTTATTAAATTATTTTGTTATTTGAAATTTCGGAAAGTTTTTGAAACAAAATCTCAAAAATCGTCTTATCTCGTTAACTAAAACGATTCGGGCACTCAAATTGGAGACCAAATTCGCAACCCGTAATTCGATATAGAGCTGCTTAATTTAAACTCGGTAAAATAACCACTGAAATCAAATTGGAAAATCGAAAAAAATTCTTAACCGTTGCAATATACGAGATAGCTTAAACATGCAAAAATAATACGTTGAAAAAGCTTAACATGGCGAGATAGTGAAGCCCGCATTTAAATATATAATAGAAGATTGCATCGGAATCTGTATTCTCGTATTGATCTCTAGGCGTATGAATTGCATTTTCGATGCCACATTTTTGGCCAAGGCATAGCTGGTAGTTCAATCCGAGTACCATAAGGTCGCTTTTTAAGCACTTGTGATCGTTCTACCTATTATTTTGTGGATGACTTCGCTTATACCAATTGGCCTAACTCCTGTGTTTTTATTAAGTAGAATTAGTCGACAGGCATTATATGGTTCAAGAAGCTCATGGCTTAGTACTTCTGTTGATATTTTCTGCGCCTTTTTGGCTAGTGTCTATGACATTTCAACTGAATGTTGACCAAAATGCGTTAGTATGCTTCTCCACTCATTTTCATCCAGACCTGAGAGTCCATGAGAATCATGTGTTGTCATGGCAGCCTTCCTTATGTTCTGGGCGTTTATTTGGTCGAATGTGGAAGAGTTGAAGAGATTGTATGTTCGGAGCATGATGCTATAGAGCTGCTGTTTACTGGCTCCGCGGGAGGGTGTTTCTCGATGACGATTTGCCCAACAGTTTGACAATTGACGGTTTCCTCGAGTGAGAGAACTCCCTTGTAAGTATCAGTTTATTTAGCATTAGCACTCGATATTTTTCTGGTGCTCAGTAATATATTAAATTGCTGTGCCTCGGTTTCTACTTTCTTTTTCTTACTCTTTACCAAGCGCATATGCAGCGGTTTTTCCTAGTTAAAAAGTTCTTCCAGTTCGCCCTTATGCCATTGCTTAAGCCTTCTTGCTATAGTTTTGGAGTTCAAAGCATAACTCTCTGATTTGGTTTTCCATAGCATGAGGTGAGGGATATCATTGTTTCGTGCATTGCGCATGTGTTTTCTTGCGTTTCAATTAACGAGTTGACGGTTTTATTTAGGGTTTCTATAAAGTTTAACACAATTCTGTTTTTGGTGAGGATCATGACTACTTGGCTGTAGATTGTTCTTATTTTATATTTCAACTCAGGTGTCGGATTTGACCAGGTGTCGGGTGTGGCTGTTAGTTTTGATCACAAGTGTTCACAAAGCCAGGATTTTGATCGTTGATCGAAGCAACAAACACAGCAGAGAACAGATGCTATGAAACTTCCAATGCTACAGATTGTTTATAGCAAAAGTGCCACCAAATAAATGAACACTTCTAATGCACATTTTATTTGCGAGTTAGCTTTAAAAAAAAGTTCGTTCTAAAACACTACGCTGCTCGCAATGTACTAAAGAAAAAAACTTAACAATAAATCAGAAACTTTTATTCAAAAATGCAGATGAAATTAGCGGAGGACTTGCAGAGAAAACTTACATGAAAACTGAATGTTTAAAAATTAATTTAAAAGATCACAAAAACTGGGACCCAAGTCCTGTTTATGATCTGCCAAACTCAAAATGTCAATAATTATTATTATCTTCCTTACAAGTTCCCATGGTAACAACATTGATAACTGTCAGTTGGTAAAAACGTGTATCAATAATACCTCGCTTTAACGTTTTCGTCCGAAGACATAATCAGAATTCTAGACAAATCAAATTTCTGATTGTAAAATTCTTATGATGTCTTCGGACGAAAACGTTTAATTGAGGTAATATTGATACACGTTTTTCCCACAAAAAGTCATAAAAAACGTCATATCTTGGAAACTGATTTGCAACTGCTGAGAATAATTTTGACCAGTACGCATGCTACTCGAAAACTCTATCAACAATCTAAAATCACGTGGGAAAAAACTCTAAATCCCGTCCATATTGACGAACGCCAAAATTATCTTACATTCAGCTGCAGGCGAATAAAGTTTCTCAATAAATCCTGTTTGCTCTGCATATCAAAGTTGGAAATTTCATGATAAAGAGATCCCTTGTATAGGTTTATCACATCCACCAGACCTTTTACTGATTCGATTTCCTCATACTTGAACATGTTTTCTCTGAAAACCCGAAAAGTAGAAGTGGTCAATTTGAGATGTCAAGGAAGCAGTCATCTTGACAGCATACACCATTCCGAATCTTCATTCGGAAGAAATTTTGTTTCAGAATACAATCGGTAACATTGTGTACACAGAGACAAAGCTGAGCTTTGCACTACTTGCGATACAACAAACATAACATTGAAACAGCATGACAGCAAGAAGTAGCATACAGGACTTCAAGCGAAGAAAAAAATAACAAACTAGAAAAAAGTAAACTCTAAAAGGGGCCATTCCGTTAGGTACAGTCGCGCACAAGCTGGATAGGGCCCATACCAGCATTATATAAATACATCAATAAACAATATTGCAGGAATTAATTTAAGTCAGCGTTTAATGCATTGTCATTAAAAGTATTTACTTCAAACGTCCCTCTTCTACAACAGCACTAACTGAATTGTCAGACGCAGCAATCTGCACCCCGTATACAAAGTATGGCGCTCCTGAGCAGCTCGAAGCTTATCTTAGTTCTTATATAGTTTATTGTTTCTGAGTAGCTTTCATGTCTTTTTTCACTTAGTTTTTCAGCTATAAAGTGCCTTAAAACTGCGCGGAAGAATTTTCCAAAATTTCATGACAAGATCATAGCTGATTTAGTCGATACCAGTGCAGAAACTGACAAAGTTGAATACGAACAAGAGCTGGCTGCAGAACGAGCATCGTCAAAATTGTTCAAGTATTTCAAAGCATTTAGGAAGTCAAATCTCCCGCGGAAAATGTTTTACGAGTCTGTCTCGGAGGAGACGGACAAGGGTAAATCAGAACTATTTTCTATCTTTGTGCCAGTCGGTCATGTTTGGAAGTTTGACCTTGAGAAAAGCAAGAGCACTTAATTTTGGGGTGAAATTTAATTTTTCAAAAATTCGAATGGAGCCTGTCATGCACGATTTTCTCGCGATAACTGAAAACCGAAAAAGAGAAATCAGAACAATCGAGTGACAATCGCGGGAAAGTTGCAAGATAAATCACTAGGAAATTGCCATTCGCAATTTCCGAGACAATAATAATCTAGAGTAGAGCTGTCCTATTTGAAATAGAAGACAGAGTGTTCCTGAGAACTGGACAATTATCCAACTGGTCAACTATTCGAACTGGACCAGAGTGAACCTTCGCTGGAAAGGTGGACAGCTTGAGTGTCCCAATGGTCCACATAAAACTGCATTCTAGCGTACAAACTTATTCCTGTTGTTGAAACTGACAAACATTAAACTCATTTAGTTACACTATTTAATTCTTGAGTTGCTTACCGACTTAATTACTCCCAATTCTTGAGCGTGCTACAATGTGAGTACCAATTTAAATTTCTAGAGTGTGTTTTATAATTGTTATGTTGAGGTAAGGCGAGTTTTAGGTTGTTCCATCTGAAATAGATCAAACTTCCACTGTCTAATAAAAAGTAACTTAACGGATTGTTCCGACCCGGTTTTTAACGGCGTTCATGTATTTTGGGTATCTAGAGACCTAAGTATGGGGACGTTCTTAATTCTAGAGTGGGGTATATTTTAGTAGTAGCCTTTAAGCTGTAACGGGTCGTAGTCTCATGTCACAAACGAACTGAATTGGCTCCGACTGATTTGAGGTAGAAAAACACAAGAGATAGTGTCCCTGACTCTTGAGCCAATGGTTATATGGCCTATTTTTCTTAAGCCTCATGTGTGACTGCAGTAGAGGAATGTTACATAGTGTTTTTACGCTCCTGGGTGTTTACGACATCAAGACTACGGAGTCGAACCCACTTGAGACAGCTTCGGGCTGCATGCCCATTCTAGAGTACCGGCGGTGCGGTTCGACAGGAACGTGCAAACCTTCCGGTTGTACCGTGATAGCTTTTTAAGAAAACTCGAGAAAACTTCCTGGTACGCTCTCCGAACGAGGCTTAGCTAACCGAGTAAAGGGGGGGCAACTAGGGGGACAAAAACACGAGCAAAAAGACAAAAAGCAAAACAAAAACCAAAAAAGAATAGAAAAAGGAACAAAAACCATAAAACGAAAAAAGACAGTGACTTTGACACCAGATTAGTTGGATCAAACCTTTATATTAATTAAATAGTATACCCATACTGTTTTACAAGTTCGATCGTTTCGATCAACCTAGTAATTTAACCCAGTAACCTTAATAAAGAGCCCGAGTGTGGGGCGTTGTCAAGGGTTTTCAGATAGCTTGGAACTTAGCTGGACAACAAGGAGACTTGACTGGAAGAGGTGACCAGCCGAGTGGGAAAGTGGTTCAGGAGCACTTGAGCTGAACTAATAGGAGACTCGACTGGAAGAGGAGACCGGCCGAGTGGGAAAGTGGTTCAGGAATACTTGAGCTGAACCAATAAGAGACTCGACTGGAAGAGGTGACCGGCCGAGTGGGAAAGTGGTTCAGGAACACTTGAGCTGAACCAATAGGAGACTGGAATGGAACAGGTGACCAGTCGAGTGGGAAAGCAGCCAAGAAGGATTTGGCAGATCTCGAGTTCGCAAGTTGGGCAGAACGGGTATCGTTAAAATCCAAATTACATTATAGGAGATAAGTGTAAAATTGGATAAGCGAAATCCCCCGGTTTTGAGGAACGTTTTTACTTAAGCAGGCCTGGAAACAGGTCTACGGTTTTCTCTTGAGAGGTTTAGCACCCGGCGCTTAAGGTAATTTTTAGGCTTAAGAAAGGGGGCTAGAAAGGGGGGAGGTTAGAAGGGGGGCTGGTTAGGTTAGAGGTTGGCGGCTGTAAATTGTAAAAAGGGGGGAAATTAGAGTGACTAATTAGTCGACATCGTTGATTTAGTTACATTAGTCATTAACACGCGTTGGTAATAATAAGTGGATATCGAAATTTGAACTTGAGTTAAGGGAGGTACCCTGGTCGGATTGGTAGGGGGGAACGGACGTAGACAATTCTGGTGATACCCAATAAGATTATTAGTTGGGGGGAGGAAACGCGTGGCAATTAGGTACCAGACAAATTTTCTTTTCGACAAAAGGTAGACATTGGTCACCTTTGAATTTTAGGTGGGCTCATCTTTCCGTTTTTATTATTTTTTCTAGCTTGGATTTTGTTGCATTTTGGTGAGGATTTGTGTTTAGTTTTTATACGAACAGGTGATCACAAGATACCTGCACACAGGTTTTGGTCTCAAGTTGCTTGGAACATTGAAAGAGAGGTAATTAAAAAGAAATAAGAAAAAGGGGGGTCAGCATTTGGCTTTTAAGAGAGTGTTTTTGGGAAAATTTTACTAGAGCTTGAGTGGTGGCACGAGGTACAGTGAATCAAGAAGTCCCCATAACGAAGAAGAAAGAGGTCCCACCGCTCAGACACTTGTCAACAGTCTTGGGACAGTGCCAAAGAAGTCTTGGGACAGAGCAGTCTTGATACAGTCTTGGGACAGTGGTCTTGGGACAGTGGTCTTGGGACAGTGGTCTTGGGACAGTGGTCTTGGGACAAGGGTCTTGGGACAGGGTCTTGGGACAGTGGTCTTGGGACAAGGGTCTTGGGACAGGGTCTTGGGACAGTGGTCTTGGGACAAGGGTCTTGGGACAGGGTCTTGGGACAAGGTTCTTGGGACAGGGTCTTGGGACAAGGGTCTTGGGACAGGGTCTTGGGACAAGGGTCTTGGGACAGTAGTCTTGGGACACTAGCCTTGGGACAGTAGTCTTGGGACACTAGCCTTGGGACACTGGCCTTGGGACAGTAGTCTTGGGACACTAGCCTTGGGACAGTAGTCTTGGGACACTAGTCTTGGGACACTAGTCTTGGGACACTAGCCTTGGGACAGTAGCCTTGGGATAGTACTCTCAGGACAAGGGTCTTGGGACACTGACGAAGTACTGGGACAGTACCGAACAGTCTTGGGACAGTAGAAAGAAGCCTGGGACGGTACAAAGAAGAGTAGGGACGGTAACTGGAAGTCTTAGGACGGTATAAAAATTGAAGTAAAATTACAATAAGTGTTTGAGACAGATTTAAAACAGAACAACACTAGTCGGAACCCGGTACGGTTGGGACCACAAATAAAGAAAGTTTCAAGAAAGGTTTTTATCACGTTGTATATTTCCTATTTCCTTTTAAGAATTCTTTTTCACAAAAGATTTTATTCGTAGAATAGAATTGTGTATATAATAATATTGTAAATACGATCAATTGTAAATAGAAATAATGAGACGGAGTAGGGTACCGGTGCTAGAAAAAAGGTCAAGTGGATCAAACACGAAATATAACTCGTCGCTGCGCGGAACGACATCAAGGGGCCCAGGCAAAACAAAAGATAACTTTTCAGTTAGCATGGTCAGCACGAGGAGTGGCACCGAGAGCAAGACGCGAGAAGATGCGAGGGAAAAAACAGGTGGAGCCCACAATCGAAATCGACCTAGAGACACCAGACCAGAGCGTAGATGAAGTGGAGAAAAAGACAACGGAATCCGATATGGAAGATCAAAATCCAAAAACCGTGGAGTTTTCGCCGATAGACGCGTTGGAAGACACAACAGGCAATACCCGAGAAACGGTGAAAGATGACTCTCAAGTAAACAAGACATCTTTTACAGAAAAGTTGGCGATGATGGTCGGAATGAAATCGAAAGACAACACGGCCGAAGAATCACAGACTGGAAGAGCACGAACACTTGGGACAGTGAGCACGAAGGCGACAGAAGCCGACCCAAAGGAAGAACAAGCCAGAACAGAAGAGGCAGCCGAAAACAAGACAACGGCTGTTCATGAAACAGCTGCTCTTGAGCTTGGCGACCTGATGACAAAGCTAAATCAGATCGACAAAAAACTAAAGTATAGTGAGGAAAATAGAAACCTGATAAAGAAGGAGTTAAAATACAACAAACACGAATATCTGGATAGTCATTTTAACCTGGCTAAGGCGACAGACGAGAGACTCCAGCAGATGTCGGACAAGGTAGATGCCACCAATGAAGAACGAGATAAGAACATCAAAAAAGATATGCAACAGTTGAAAAACCGATATGATGATGTCAACAGCCAATTAGGTAGCCTGGAAAAA